AGAAAAAGCCAAGATTATCATTTTTCGTACGTGCGAAAAAGGCAAAATTAGATTTTGTTTTTTTAGAACAAGAACGATGTAAACCACGCCCGAAAAGAGGAGAAAGAATGCTCGATCAAGAACCATTGGTCGAAAACGGTCACGTGATCTGCGGAAAAAAGAGGAGAAAGAATGCTCGATCAAGAACCATTGGTCGAAAACGGTCACGTGGCATGCGGGAGAGATGGGTGTGCGCCTCCCCACCAAAGGCACTGTGAGGAAGTAGGGGTGAAAATAATAGCGATAATGGGAAGACAGAAATAATGCGGCTATTGGAATTATCGAGAAACCCCTGACGCCGACAAACCCACCCCGTTTTGTTGCGGCGTCAATAAAAGCAGGACCCCAGTCGACAGAAATGAGTTGCAGCTGGACCGCGGGCAGGGATAGAGCCTGAACGCGGGCATCAGGCCCGATTCACTCGCCCCTTTGCGGGCAAGAGAATCCTCAGACAAGAAATCCTTCCACCCAAGTCGAAGACAAGAGAACTTCCAGCCCAAGCAGACGAAGAAGGAGATTGCTCGAAGGGCGCCAAGAGTTACGGCAGAGTTACGGCAGAGTTACGGCAGAGTTGTGGCAGAGTTGCGGCTGAGTTGTGGGTTAGACGACCAGAACAGTTGGAACGCGGGCATCGGGTCCGGTTCATTCCTCCCTTGCGGCAAGAGAATCCTAAGACAAGAAATCCTTCCACCCAAGAAGAAGAAGAAGAAGATTGCTCGAAAGCCGCAGAGAAGTTGCAGCCGAGTCAAAGACAGGCCGAAGAGTTGCAGGCCAGACAAGAAGTAAAGTTGCAGACCAAACAAGCAAATCAGTTCCACCTCAGTCGACAGAAAAGAGTTGCTGGACGGAAGAAGAAGAAGTTGAAATCAAGCCAAGCCCGAGATCAGAATTCGACCAAACCAGATCGAAGTGAAGAAATACAACTCAAGTCGAAGAGAAGAATCAACTGCGAATGATTGACAGAAATTAGCCCCAGTGTCGAACTAGACCACACTCCGACATACATAATTCTAAAGAGTAGGCAATTCGAAATCTTTAAGTTGTATGATAGAAGCTTGGTGCCATAGTCCACAGAGCGGGTCGGGAAATAGGAACAATTTTTCTTTGTGTAACGGACATTAGATATAAAAGGTTGTCACCCTTTTTTTTTATCAGTAATTTGTTGTCTCGTGAGTTTTTTTTTTTTTTTTTTTTTTTTTTCTTTTACTTGTGTTTTGCCACCCCCGTCGGACTCAACTTGTATCGGCCCCAATCCCTGCTGGTCCCGTCTGTCTAAGATCTAAACACAACGTGGGTAGACAGACCGGAGATCAGTACAGTTGCTTCAGTAACCAGGTATTGGAAGCGAGTTGGGAAAGGCGAGGCTGGTGATCATCTAACCAAGGGGTTGGAGCGGCACGCTTGGAACCAGGAGGAGCGACCAGGAGGAGCGACGTCACAGTTGGCGCCGTAACCAAAGGATTCGACCCTGGGCCAGGTGTAGACCCGTCACAATATTCAACTATTACTGAGGTAGAAAAACAGCATTTTGAAGTCGTCACTGATAATGGCGTGGGTGTGCAGATTTTCAATTTGAAGTTTAGTTATAATTTCTTCATCTTATTTAATTTTGATAAAATAAAATAACAACTTTACCTGATTTAAATACTGAAATCTTTTTAGCTTTCTCATTAATATTTAAACAAACCTTCCAAAATCGAGGATTTTTTAGTGCATTTTTGTCTACGATCTTTGATGCCAAATGCTCAAAAAACGTTAAAGTGTCAGATTTAATTTTTTGTACCAGAAATTAATAGGTCTATACAGAACATTCGGTACATTATTATTTTTGATATTTTAAAAAAACTTAAAAATCAACCTACAGTAATATATATATATATATATATATATATATATATATATATATATATATATATATACAATAAACGTGCAATCAATTTACAAATACATGAATTATTCACACAAAACTAATGCAAAGGTTAATGATTTAAATAGCGAGACATCCATCATCGCAAACAATTCAAATAGTACACAAAAATGAATTGATCCTTGTTTATATAAATTCCTGAGTTTGATTTTAAATTTTTTAATTTTTTTTTTAATCATTAACCTTTGCATTAGTTTTGTGTGAATAATTCATGTATTTGTAAATTGATTGCACGTTTATTGTAATTTAAATAACTGATCCATGTGCGACTTTTAGTTAATAAGTGCGACATTACTGTAATTATTGAACAATATAGTTCATGCCACTTTGACAGTAAAATTTACCAGTAAAAAATTTGTTCAACACCATATTTGGTATAAACGCAAACATTTTAAAAATTTAAAATCAAACTCAGCGTTGCTTTGGCGCGTTCAAAACCAATAACTTATTTTCAATAGCATTTCGGATACAATAACACATATATTTTCGATGTCCTCTTATTACTAAGAGAAAAAAAACAAGAACAACATCTATTATATACCTGAAGATGTCTGTAGGAACAGACGAAAGCTTGTAGTAAAAAATAACAACTAATACGGCAGAAATTTATATAAACAAGGATTAATTCATTCATAACGGATCTGGAGGTTTTTGTGTATTATTTGAATTGTTTGCGATGATGGATGTCTCGCCATTTAAATCATTAACCTTTGCATTAGTTTTGTGTGAATAATTCATGTATATATATATATATATATATATATATATATATATATATATATATATATATAAGAGGCACGGTGGAATAGTGGATATAGTAGTACATTCACTTACGTGCTAATACCCTTGGGAAAGGTATTAATCCTCTTCTTCTCCCTCCAGCTATGGGTAAATAGCGGGACAGAAAGGGCTTTATAGCCTTGGGTGGCAACTGGTCTAGGAGAAGGACAACTCTGAATTCAAAACCTGCGGAAGGTTGATTGGAGACCTTTTGGCATGTAGTGCACCACTTCTCTGTATTCGGACCTTCAAAAAAGTGTGGTTCGTTCAGCACTGTAATCAATTCATAGGTGCAGATGTCTAGCTGTCGGTTTGTTATATATATATATATATATATATATATATATATATATATATATATATATATATATATATATATATATATAGTCTATTAGGGCTGCAGATCATTATTCAAACATATTGTTAAATATAAAAAGACAATGAATTATTATGTTTGATTATGAGCCGTTCTAAACTCCGAAAAAATGTTGGACAATTTTTGTCTTTATTTTCACCCGAGATTAATGAAAATATACGGCTCATGATCAAACATAATAGACATTCATTGTCTGTTATATTTAACAATATATGTTTAAATAATTTATATATATATATATATATATATATATACTAGAGAGTGAGAAGAATTTAGTGAGGAGAAGTGAGGCAAAAGGACAATAAAGAAAAATATTCAGGAAGACAGAAGATGACAAGTGCTGTTGCATTTAAATTTTTGAAGATTGTATGCTTTTTCCAATGAATACCAGGATGTAGACATCACATTGGTTCTTGAAAATGATTGAGATGGTCGAAAGTATTTGAATCAAACAATAACACAATATTAACTTTGGACAGTTTATCCACAAATTCGAGCGAAATATTCAGTACCTTATTGAAAAACTGGAAAAATACAATGAAAAACTAAACAAACATGACTTTTGAAAAGATTTACTGTCACTGAATCTCCAGTGTCATCCACCAGTTATTAAAAGAGTGGACACTCAAAAAGTGAATACTACTACTACTACTACTAGTACTACTAGTACTACTACTACTACTACAAATAATAATACCCTTATTTAATTTGATGTCATGATGAATATTTTTGTGACTCAACGAACACTCGCTCGTTGTCACTTTTGTGATGCCAACGAATACTCGTTGTCAATTTCGTAATGTTCGTTGTAGTAGAGACTTTGCAATCGCAGATACAACTATAGTAACGCCGTTGAACAATACTGGTGTCAGACGCCTTCGAATAGCACTCGCACAAATAGTACTTGCTCAATAATACTCGCTCGAATAGTAATCTGTATAGAGATCCGAATAGAGAAATAGTATAGTGAATAGTGGTCCGTATGGTAATAGAGTATAAATAGCGATCCGTATAGTAATAGAGGATAGAGTAGAAATAGCGATCGGAATAGTAATAGAGGATAGAGTAGAAATAGCGATCGGAATAGTAATAGAGGATAGAGTAGAAATAGCGATCGGAATAGTAAATAGAGTAGAGAATAGCGGTCCGTATAATAATAGAGGATAGAGGAGAAATACGATCATTTAGACGTCACGTGATTTCCTACTTATAATGGGATCGCATGTGTTTGCTCACTGGCGATCTATGTTCAAACTCAAGTGTCGGCAGCGGCACTTTATTTCTATGTAACAAATATATTGGGCATCTCATATTTCTGCCGTGGCGTTAGACCGTTGGTATTCTGACCAGGATATTCGGGTTCGCATCTTACACTGTGCAGCACTTTTGGAAAATACCTGAAAACCGTGTCACGAATTGACTCAAGCCTTGTGTGTGAAATTAGGTAGGCGAAACTGTTTGGAAACACGAAGTTACAAGTCTTCATGGCCGAGGGTTTGAGCGTACTTACCTTGTTGATACCCGCGATCACGCCAGACTATGAGACCTCCGCTCAGCATAATTGTAGCATAAACCGCAGGTTGGCTCTGTGGGTGTTGAAGAGACGCAAATGCGACTGAACATTGATGGATTCGTTTTTTACGATTTATCAACACTTAGCAGATTATTTAAAGCCAGGAAATATTTTTAGATTGTAAGATTTCTATTGGCAATGATAATGATTTAATGATGCAAGTCTGAAGGGAGAATAGGTGGGTTCATGCCTTTTCCAAGGTTATTTGCGCGGAAGTGAATATAACGAACCCGACTGGAATTGGAACTCGGCTCTCCGATTAACAATTCCGAGCCAATTTCAATTACATCGCTCGCGGATCCAAGCTTACAGCACCTGGTATTCCCAAGAAGTCATCAATCTAGGTACTGATCACGTTTGACGTTGCTTAACTTCGGTGATCGTACGGGAACCGGTGTTTCAACATGATATGGCCGTAATGCTGTAAGTGAACAGGCGTCTGCAAGAGAGATTAGCTCGTCACCCTCGCAGACAGACACACACGGATACGAGCGGCCAGCCATATTATACTATATTTGCATCCCAGCGTCCCTTTTTGGGGTGCTGGTCTCTCAGTCAATTATAATGATGATAATAATGAAGCCTTGGGAAATGCCCACTGGGAAATGATCAGTGATAAATCGTGAAAGATGATGAAAGATTTTTTTTTTAAGTAATTACTCTCAATATGTTTTCGCGAAAATAATTCTTTTTGGCACCGTTTTAAATTGATTCTAACCGTTTTCACGCGAATTGGCTGATGTTACCGCAGGTTTGACCAGCCAAAGAATCGAGTAACTGACTTTGACGTAGGACAGGAAAGTCTTGGCAAAATAAGTCTTACGTACAGGCTGTTTTTTTTTTCGTTTTTATTTAGTTATTTTTTGATGAATGCAACAGTTTACCAGATGCGCCTCAGCACCTCCCCTCCCCTTTTTGTCGGTAAATCAGTTCAACGTAAGATTTGGTCGCCTTCGTCTCTTAGTTTCAACTAACGGTTTCATAATGGCTGTACTTACAGAACGAATCGTTCGGCTGGCATTTATTATGTTGAGTCAGCAGTTTTTTTTTTTTTGTCGACACAACAAAATAAAGGCAGATGTAGTGAATTAGTTAAGTGACGGACTGGAGGGAAAAAAACACGCGTCCCGCCGGGGATTGGGGGTGGAGTAAGAGGGTAAAAAAAAAAAATCTGGGTTTTCCTCCGTTGGCCAGTGTTTATACATTTGTTCGGTCGGAAGATAACTTCTAGAGTTGGGACTGATAAAGAAGAATGAGCGTGTGTGTGTGTGTGTGTGTGAGAGAGAGAGAGAGAGAGAGAGAGACTGAGGGGTAAATACAAAGGTAAGAGGAGAAAGAAAGAGAGAGAGAAGAGAAAATAAAGAGAGAAAGAACACTAGAAACAAGGAGAGTAAAAGAAAAGAGGAGGAATAGAAGAAAAAATAGAAGAGGAGAAAGAAGTTGGAAGACAGAAAAAAAAAATAAAAAGAAAGGTAGAAGATAGGAAAGCGATAAAAAAAAGGAGAAAGGAGGAGGAATATAAAAAATAGAAAAAGAAAAAGAAAGAAAGAAAATGGAAGATAACAAAGAAATCGAGAAAGAACGAGAAAAAAAGAGGAGGTAGATAAAAACAGAAAGAAAAAAGGAAGGGGAGACAGAAAATAAATAGGCAGTGAATGAGAAAGAAAGTAAGAGAGAAAGAAAGAAAGAAAGAATGAAGGAAGAGGAGGAGGAGGAAGACAGAAAAGAAATAAAGAAAGAGAAAAAAAGGAAGACAGAAAAGACGTACAGACAAGGAAAGAAAGAGGGAGACAGTTAGAGAGAGAAAAGAAGAACAATAGTAGAAAGACAGAAAATAAATAGAGATAGAGGCAAAGTGAGAGTAAGAGAAAGAGAGAAAGCGTGAGAGAAAAGAGAGATAAATAGAGAAAGACAAATAAAGGGACAACCCAAAGAGAAGTGAAATAAAGAGACGGGGAGAGAAATAAGGAGAGAAGCGTGCTAGAAAGAAGGAGAAAAGTAAAGAGAAAAGAAGGTATACAAAAAAGAGTGAAGAAAGGTAGATAGGTAAGTAGGTAGGGACTAGATTAGAGGAAAAGTAAAAGGATTGAGAAACGAAAAAAAAGAGACAGACAGACAGATATGAACAGAATGAAATAGATATTAATGAACTAAAATTACTACATAGATAGTTATGAACGGACTATATATATATATATATATATATATATATATATATATATATATATATATATATATAGATAGATAGATAGATAGATATGAACGGACTAAAATAGATATAAACAGATGGATAAATGTATATGAACGGACTAAGATAGTTATAAAGATTGATACGAGTACACTGATATATATATATATATATATATATATATATATATATATATATATATAGATAGATAGATAGAGAGAGAGAGAGAGAGAGAGAGAGAGAGAGAGAAATAAATAGATAGATAGATATGAACGGACTAAAATAGATATAAAGATTGATACGAGTACATTGAGATAAATAGAAAGAGAGACAAACAGACAGATATGATCAAGATTTTACAATCTTGGAAATAAACAATGGAATAAATACAGTTTGACTTTCTGATTTTCATTTCTCAAGAAAAAAATGTGGATAAATTCAGTTTCATATGGTTTTATTAAAAATATAGAAACAGATTTTTAAACCAATAAAAACCAGCGAAGAAGTACACGCTAATGGCAGTGTTGAACAGAAAATCTTTTGACAAATCGTTTTGTTTTATTTTATTTTTTTATCTGGTCCTAAGGTAAACTTTGCCGAATAATAATAATAATAATAATAATAATAATAATAATAATAATAATAATAATAATATGTGCATTGAAATATATGCAAGAAGCACAAAATCAAAACCACTGAGAGATGGTATGAGCACAAACCAGACGCATTTACCCAAAATAACGATGTAACTATCCTCTGGGATATTCCAATTCAAACTGACAGGGAAATAACAGCTAATGGACCTGATATTATCATAAAATTCAAGAAATCCAGGAAGTGAATATTTATTGACATAGCAGTACCATCTGAGAGAAACACCTCAATGAAAATTAGCGAGGAATTGTCCAAATACAAGGACCTGAAGATCGAGATTAACAGGATGTGGGGAATGAAAACTGAGACTTTACCAATTGTAATCGGAGCTCTGGGCCTCCTGAGGAAAGGAATAGGCAATTTTATAAACAGTGTCTCAACATATAAGTTGTCCAGAAGACCGTCCTACAAGGAACATCCCATGTACTAAGAAAAATGCTAACAGTTAAATGACAATTCTCCTATAGGGCCTAAGGAGCATAGTTTGGACCTGGCTCTACAGGATACAAAGCAGGAAATATAGCATACACAAATAATAATAATAATAATAATAATAATAATAATAATATCTTTTAACTCGTAGAGGCCGGAGTGATTTGGTAATTTGGCACTTAAAATTAATCTTTGGCAAGATGATACCAAACACAACAACAACAATAATAATAATAATAATAATAATGATAATAAAAGGCAAGCTAAAAGAAAAGAAGCTTCATGGTCAGCTTTTTTTCAGCAGTTAAATATAATCGAGAAATGGCTTTGGCTAATAGTTGGGTATACAAAGAGAGAAACAGAGTCACTCATATTTTCAGCACAGGTGCAGGTTATCACAATGAATGCAATCATTCCGGGGCAGACAGATCACAAGAAGAAAGCAAATGCAGGATGTGTGAACAAGCAGATGAGATTGTTAACCCCATACTCGCTGAATAACCCAAGTATTCAAAGAAAGAGTATAATCGAAGACATAATTCGATTGGTAGGAAGATCCACTGGGAAGTATGCCGTAAGTTTGACTTCAGTGTAAAAAAGAAGCGCTATGAACATTAACCAGAAGCAACAATAAAAAAAAAAAAAAAGGCGGTATGAACATTAACCAGAAGTAACAGTAAAAAAAAAAAGGCGGTATGAACATTAACCAGAAGCAGCAGTAAAAAAGAAGCGGTATGAATATTAACCAGAAGCAGTAGTAGAAAAGGAGCGGTATGAACATTAGCCAGAAGCAGTAGTAAAAAAATGACAGTGTCAAGAATATGAGATTTTTCTGTTCAGACACTGAAGCACGAAGACATAAAGAAGGAAAACAATTGCGAAATTATTGCTTTTCCATACGAAACAAGTGTGGAGTTCAAAGAAACTGAAAAGATAGAAAAAAATACTAGGATCTGACCACAAAGCTGAAGATGTTATGGAACATGACTGTAGAACTAATTGCTATAGTAATGGCTGCGTTTAGAACATCACCTAGAAAACTGAAAAAGCTCTTAGACAAAGTTAGAACTGAAACAAAGATTGTAGACATCCAAAAAACTACCATCATTTACTCTGCAAGGATTCTCCAAAAAATTCGTCAGTTGTAAGGGGTCTTCTGAACACGATGCCTCGAGAACAGAATTTCCATTAACTACGTCAATGTGGGGCATCAAAATAATATTGGGTTGGTGCATAACTATCAGGTGTTTTTGTAGGTGAATATGGTTAAAAAACGCCTGATAATTATGCACCAACCTAATAATAAAAATAATGATTTGTTATTATTTCGGAAAAGTTTAATTAGTTGAGCAAACCATTACTGTTGCAGTGATTTAGAACCGCAATAATCGCTCGACATGTAGCCTTGTGCCAAATTAAACTAAGTTTAGTAAATTAATATCTTATTTGAAATATTAAGTACAAAATTTAAGTAAAAGCACAACAACAGACACAGTTAAAAGAGAGAAATTGAAAAGTAGCAACTGCGGCAGGTGACAATAAAAAATTGGGAGCAAGAGAGAGAGATAGAGAGAGATAGATAGATAGATAGATAGATAGATAGATAGATAGATAGAATTTTAACCGGTTATCGCTCCTCATTCGTCAGAACTCGATCGAGGAAAGTAATTGATTTTGTGTACACCGACTGAAAAGGAAACATGAAGAAGAAAATGCCCGCTTGGCGATAATATATTGGGACAAGTATATATATTTTCACATTCAGTCCGAATAACCAGTCCTTGTGTTTACTCCTAATTTCGTTTTGCTAACTGCCATAGCTGTATTGTTGATTACTGTTAGCAAATTAGTGAGATCAATCCTCATTAGGTGATTCACTCTTGTGGCCTTGTGCCAGACGAAGTTAAGCTTCGGAACACGAAGGCAATCAAATATAGGGAGAAGAAATGGGGACACAAAAATAAATTACAAGAACATAGCCTACGTGTGAGAGAGAGAGAGAGAGAGAGAGAGAGGGGAAGAAAGATAGAGAGAAAGAGAGAGAGAGGGGAAGAAAGAGAGAGAGAAAGAGAGAGAGAAAGAGAGAGAGAGAAGGGAAGAAAGAGAGAGAGAGAGGAACAAAGAGAGAGCGAGAGAGAGAAAGAAAGAGAGAGAGAAAGAGAGAGAGAGAGAGCAAGAAAGAGAGAGAGAGGGGAAGAAAGAGAGAGAGAAAGAGAGAGAGAGAAAGGGGAATAAAGAGAGAGCGAGAGAGAAATAAAGAAAGAGAGAGAGAGAGAGAGAGAGAGAGAGAGAGAGAGAAAAGCAGACAAAGAAACAAGGTTGTCTACAAGAAAAATGATCAAATTTTCGAAATTAAATGGAGAAATCCATTTTGGCACTGAATACAAACCGTCAACTTTATTTCACATTAATTTTTATTTTAATGCCATGTCCCTTCAGGACGTAAGTGATCACTGCTTTCCACAGCTTCCTTTTTTACTATCTGTGAATTATAGTGTGAAAGATAGTAAGCCGATTTGTTCTTGACTTCTCGACGGACTCCTTTTCCTAGACTGTCTACCAACCAAGGCTACAGAGAACTGTCTCTATTTATATTTAGACCATAACTGGGAAAAAAGAGATGGATCCACGCCTCTCCCATGCGAAAGTGATAAGCAATAGACTAGACCGGAACTTGACCATTTTTAATGCCATGACCCTTCAGGGCGTAGGAGATCACTGCTCTCCACAGCTTTCTTTTTATTATTTGTGAATTGTAATAGGAAAGATAGCAGAATGATTTCTCACGGTTTTGAATTCAAAGTTTTTATTCTTCTAAACTGGCCACCAAGCATTAGCCAGAGAATTAAGTCTAGTTTAATATTTGACAAATAGCTGGTTAGAGTTGGCAGAAAGGATGACAATATTTTTTCCAACAGTTTTAGTGCGAATTGACTGCAACAGACTATTCTAGAACATGACCCTTTAGAACTTAGACGGTCATGTCTCTCCACACATTCCTTTATTATCTGCGAATAGCCACGAGAAAAACAGTGGAGTGGATTCCCTTTGCCAATTCCATAGTTTTGAACCCAGAGTTGTTCTCTTAGACCGTCTAGAAAGCCCAGTCTAGTTTACTATTTAACCTATAGCTAGGGAGAAGAGATGGATGGATGACATCTCTAAAGATATTTGTGTGAGAGTGAAAGCAACATAAAAAGTTTGAATTTGAACACGACCCTGATTATTTCATTTTTCGTGTCAGTAACCATTACGTTATTTGCACATTCATTTCGTGTTAATACGAAAGAAAGAAAATTCTATTTCCACACAGAGAAGATGTCATTACTGGAGTTTGGTAACAAACGTGCAAGACAACCTGGCATTAATCTAGTCTTCAAAGTGGACAGTTCGCATTTCTTTTTTCTTACAGTCACACCATACAGGAGAACTGAAAACACATACACGGCAACAACAACAACAATAACGAAAAAGTAATAGCAAAAACCTCCGAAAATATATGTAAAATATCCGAGTAAATAAAAAACAAAACAAAAAAAAAATCTGGAGAAGAAGAAGAAAAAGAAAACGAAACTTAGGGTGCACAGATCTTACTAATTACACAGAGACAGCCCCCGCGTGTATTTTTATATGAAATCGGCGCCGAAAACAGGCTTGCACCCTAAGACCGAACGGTCGCTTCCAACAGGGGAAAATTAGCGAAAAGGTTACATCACAATTTCCTCACCAACGACCCATCTTGCCCTGATTTCTATCAAATAAATATCATTTCTCATTATTTATCCTATTTTTTTTTCTTCTGAAAACCTGTCTGGCTCGACGTCTACTCAGTTTCTTGAAACCGTGTATTTCAAAACATTGTTATCGACGCCTTCTCTGCTTTATGCATGTTGGGCGCTAACAGAAGAAACAAGATGGCGATGACTGAGTAATTTCGTGTTAATTAATGAAGCTTTTTTTTAAACGTCTGCTCTTCTTAATGTCGTCGATAAAGAGCGAAAATGAAAGCGAAACAGAGAGAAAAAGATTAAAAGAGAATAAAAATAGAGATAAGCAGAGAAAGAGAAGAAAAATGAAAGAGGAGAGAGGGGGAACCGAAAGAAGATAAAAAAAAAATGAACGAAAAAAGGTAAAGAAAGATAAAATGAAAGAGAGGGTAGATGAGAAGGAGCAAGATATAACGAAATAAAGAGAAAAGAAGTAAGAAAAGAGAAAAAGAGAGAGAGGAAAGGAAAGAGATTCAAAGAAATAAAAAGCAGAGGAATATAAAAAGCAGAGAGAAAATAAAAAATGTACCAGAAAGGCAAAAAATAAGAGAGAAGAGGTAGATAGAGGGAAAAATGAAAGAGAGTAAGAAAGTGAAGAGGGAGAAAACGAAAAAAAATGGAAGGCGAGGACGTAAGGAGAGAAACAAAGGAGATAGCGAGGGAGGAGGAGGAGGAGGAAGGTAGGAGGAAAAACCAAACGTGGAAGTGGTAAGTCGAAAGAGAGAGAAAAAAAGAAAAGAAATAGTAAAAGAGAGAGGTAAAGTGAGAAAATGAAAGAGTGAGGGAGAAAGAAGAGGATAGAAGGAAAAATTAAAGGGAGGAGTAAGATGTAAGTAAAATAAAGAGGGGAAATGAGAAGAAAGATCATAACAGTCAATTACGGATTGGAAATATTGAAATCAGACAGGTGCAACAATTTAGATATATGAGATGCGTATTAAGGTAGGACAGAATGTACGTCACGGAAATTCGAAGACGCATTGGGATAGCGAAAGATGCCTTCCAGAAGCGAAGCAAATATCGTTAGAAAGAAAGAAAAGAGTACTGAACGGTTATGTAGTATCAGTCCTCTTATATGACAATGAATGCTAGACAATTTCCTCACAGATGAAGAAGAGGCTTGATGCAACAGAAATATGGTACTAGAGAAGGATGCTGAGAATACCATAGACTGAACATATGAGCAAAGACGAATTTCTAGAGACAATGGCAACAAAAATGGGACATACTTGGAAAGAGACAGTTGAGGTTGCTGGGACACATAGTGAGGAAGAAGGACTTGGAAAATTTGATACTCACAGGAGAAATTGAAAGTAAGTGATGAAAGGAACGCATATCTCACCTGGCGAGCTTAGAGTGAATAGATGGCGGAACAGTATATGGGAGAGATGACAAAAAACAAAAAAAATTATTAAAAGCTACAAGGGGCAGGAAATTGTGGAGAGCCATGGTCACTAACGTCCTGAGGGGTACATAGAAGAAGAAGAAGAAGAAGAAGAAGAAGAAGAAGAAGAAGAAGAAGAAGACATTTTCACTTGATGTAGCACAAGGCCACGATGAAAACAATTCTCTAATTTTTACTAAGAGAAACTCCGATTCTTAATAAAAAATATTTTATAATCACCAAACCATTAAACCATATAATAATTATCGATGTGTATTGATTTATATATTTCCTGTCTCATCTGTAGTGGGAAGGGAAGTATCTCAATTTAAGTTAGTAAATTTATGAGCGATTACTTCCCTTAGCCGTTTTAATAATCTATACAAATAAAATATTTATCTGCATTTAGACAAAATTAGTTCCCGAGCAAAATGAACCGTTTAATTAATCAGTTCCTTTACCCCCACAGTTCTTAGATTGCAGTTTTGTTTGTTCAAGCTTTTCATGTGAGACACTCAGATACCTTTGTCTATTAAGTGATCGTCTTGCTTCAACTTGATCTTGAAATAGGGTTTGTCGTTGCTATTTTCGTCGTTCTGTTGCTAATTTTTTTTCTTCCGAGAGATATTTCTATTTCACTGTTATATTAAATGCATAATATGTTTGACATGAAAAGATATTGGGCAAAAAGCGATTTATATAATACCAGGAGTCATCAATTAATCATCGATACGATTGAACGTCTAAAAAATATAAAAGGAACAGATTAATTAAACAGTTCACTGGACTCCATTTTTGTTGTGATTTTTTTTGATTTCCGCTCTATTCTCAATACATTGTTTTAAGGCTTTTGTTTCATTGCATCTCACTATTAAAACTTTCTAACAATTGTCGTCATTTTTGACAGTACAAGTAAACTAATATATATATTTGTGTATTTAGGCAGCAATCCTTCTTTCATGCACATTTCATTGAAAACGACAGACAAGTTAGTAGATGTATTACTCGTTTTAATAATCTATACAAATAAGATATTTAACTGCATTTAGACAAAATTAATTCCGGAGCGAAATGAAAACTTTGATTAAACAGTTTATTTACTCCTACGTTTCTTAGATTGCAGTCTTATTTGTTCAAGCCTTTCTTGTGGGACACTCAGATAGTTTTGTCTATTAAATGATCGTCTTGCAACAACTTGATTTCGAAATAGGCTTTGTCGTCGCCATTTTCGTCGTTCTGTTGCTAGTCTTTTTCTTACGAGAGATATTTCTATTTCACTGTTATATTAAATGCATATTTTTAACATGAAAAGATATTGGGCGATTTATATTATACCAGGAGTAATCAATTAATCATCGATACGATTGAACGTCTAAAAAATATAAAAGGAACAGATTAATTAAACGTTTCATTAGACTCCATTTTAGTTGTGAATTTTTTATCCCCGTTTCATTGTCTTCATAGATTGTTTCAAGAATGTTGCTTCATACATCTCACTAGTTAAAATTTCTAACAATAGTCGTACACTATTTTATTATTCTCTTATTTCTACAATCTTTTATAGTTCTATTATAATACATTTATTATTCTTTTATAATTCTTTCTTTATAATTCTTTTATTTTTTATGGAGCTTTTATAATATACATTTATGATACTTTTTAAATTCTTTCGTTCGTATATAATTCTTTTATTCTTATTTAAAACTTTTATAATTCTTTTATTTGTTAATTCATTTATAATTCTATTCGTGTTTCATTCTTTTGTAATATATTTATTCTTTTATAATACTTCCATAAATCTGTTATTCTTTTATTCTCTTTTGTAATATTTTTATAATTTTTTTATTCATTCATTCTTTTATCCTTTTATAATTCATGTTCTTTTATAGATCTTTCTTTAGAATTCTTTTAGATTTTATAGTTCTTTTATTTTTATTCTTTTATAATTTTTTTCAATTTTTTTAATAATAGAATAAAATTATAAAAGAATAAATATTCTATAATTCTTTAATTCCTTCATTCGTAGTTATAATTCTTTTACAGTTCTTTTATTTTATTCTTTTATAATTCTTTCTTAATATTTTCTTTATTCTTTAACATTTTTTTTATTGTTTTGGCACTAGAATTAGTTTTATGTTTGGATTTCGTCATTCATAAGAATCCTGATTCATAAGAACTTGTGGAAAGCCATGATCGCCCACGTCTTGAATGAACACGACATATTAAAGACGAATAAGCAAGTTTAACTTAGAACCAAGCAAAAAGAAACAAAAATCCCCCCAAAAAAAAAAAAGAAATAAAAAACGATGTGTCAAAAGCACGTATTTTTCTCTTGACATCGCTGTTACCAGATACTCCCACGGTAAGTTTTATTATTTTAAAAAGCAGTTTTTAGAATTTTAATAAAACCATAGCAGAACCACCATTTTAATATGATAAATCATAAATATAAATGCTTCATCATAGATTGTTCCTATATTTGTTGATAATCTTGTAAGTATAAAATTATTCATATTGTGGACTATATGAATATTTTCATAAGCTTGTAAATAAATTTATTATTAGAGTTCACCATTTAAATTCTATTCTCTTGTAAAAATGTTATTTGTCTCATATCTTTCTTTTATAATCTTTTAAACAATTGAATTTAGCATGTTTGTTGTCATTTCTCGTGAAGAAATATGTATAAATTCAGTTTCATATGCTATGGTTATATTCAAATTATAAAATTAGACTTTTAAAATGATAAAACTCACGTTGCCATAAAGCCATTACGGTTGTAAGGGTACCACACGTATTGCAGCCGCAGCAGAAATAGCGTGCCTTGGATAAGATAGCCTGACGGAGCTCACCCCCCTCCAGGATGGTTCAAATTCAGAGTCTTCCTTCCTCTAGACTGGTTTTCGCCTGAGGCTCTAGGACCCAGTCAGTCCTGCTATTTATCCGTTGCTTGAGGTGAGAGAGGGCGATGGATTGATACGTTCCCGAATGTAACGAATCGGCAGGAATTTGAACTCGGCTCTCCAATATGTCATCCCAAGCCACTATCATCACCTAGCATGCACCGGTCAGGCAATATGGTAAGGTTGGAAGAGTAGGAAAAAAAATGACGAAAAACAAAACACTTTCCCGTTCAGCGAACTGGCTTCTGTTCGGCGGGGGGAAAAAAGACAAATACGGAGATTGTGCAAAATGTCCCCAATTTTTTCTAGAACCAGCTACCGAAAGTGAACCAACTACCGGAAGTGAACCAACTACCGGAAGTGAACCACCTGCCAGAAGTGAGGCGTCCACCAGAAAGAAGCATGTTGGTGTAAAGTCTTCCAAGAAAATTCTCTCTCCCTGAAACAAGCAGCAGTTCTATAATAGAAGAGGAATGACAAAAACTCGATTTCCCCTCTAGTCTCCAAGGCCATATCACGTTGATACATCAGTTCCCGTACGACCACCGAAGTTAAGCAACGTGGATGTGCGGCTGGTGTAATCAGTAATGACTCGGAATTGTTAATGGGTTCGTTATATTGATTCATCGATTTGTTTGTTTAAAGGCATATCAAAACCTTATGGGTCCTTTTATGCCGAAATTTAATTTTCTTTGGTGCATTGAAGTAATCAAAATAGGATATGTTGTTCTGCTTTCGCAATTGAATACATGGTAGATGATAACGACATATCAACCTCTATGGGTTTATTTACTGCATAAATGCAAATATTTTGAACTCAATTGTATGCCTACAACTGCAGAGAAAAGCTATGTTGGTCATTTTACTATAAAATGTATTGTTAGTAATTCTACTAAAAATAGGTATTGTTGGTATTTTTATATAAAAATGTATGGCTTATATTTTTACCATACAATGTATTTTCAAATGTTTTGTTATTGTTTGGGGGGTTTATTATTTGCCCGTAGCTGAAGCCCTAACAGGTGCTACCACCCCGGGACAGGATGGACCTGGGGACAACAGCAGATAAGAGGTGGTTCCATGCTCCTCACAATCTCCAATCTCCCGATCAGAGTCCTTGCTACCGGATGTAGTTTATCGTCATACCCAGGACTAAGGCTCGTTAGATTCATTTACGCATAAATACCCTAGGGAACGATATGAATCAACCATTTCTCCCTCAGTTACGAGTTAATTCATGAGACAATAGATTATTATCTCCATGAAAAAAAATCTTACAATCTAAAAATATTTTCTGGCTTTAAATAACCTGCAAAGGGTTGATAAACCGTAAAAATGATTCAATCTAGTCTCTACAACTTTGGAAGACGCTCTGGAAATCTTACTTGTCCCGTGTGGGCTTCGTCAGCCATCAGAGGATCTATGACTGTCGCGGAAGACCTCTGATTCGTGAAACCAAGGATTGATGTTGGTGATTTCAGCATTCTCACTGACCCATTTTATAAATGGCAGATGAAAATAACCTTTCACCATTCTATAATATGGTAACTCAAACGGACATAAAATTACAAAGATCTGTCATCAGCGGACCAAACAAGAGAAGTTAGAGTCATGCCGAGAAGTTATTGAAGGTGAAATTATCTGGTTCTTTTCTCCATAAATGATAAATCCATACTGTCTATTCAACACACACACACACACACACACACACACACACACACACACACACAAAACAAAACAGACATAGTACATATATATATATATATATATATATATATATATATATATAAACAGACATAGTACGTATATATATATATATATATATATATATATATATATATATGAATGAATAAAGACCAAAGGAAAAGCTGATACGTGTCGTCCTCTGAGAGACTTTATCAGGACATATTTATTCATATTCTCCTTTTATAGATATAATCTCGCTGAAATTTTTACACAGAAAAACACACACACACACACACACACACACACACACACACACACACACACACACACACACACACACACACAAACAAACACTAAAAAAATAACCGTGTTTGCTTATTAGTGCTGACTTCTTTTCTAGGGAAGCTAATATAATTAACTTCCCTTACATATAAAGTATCCGATGATAACCCTGCACGAGCGGGAAGATAGGGCCAATTCCAGAGCAAATTGGTGACCTGGACGAATGTTCCTGTCCTCATTTCTCACGGTGAGAGATACCGGCTTCACATGGCTATCTCTGGTGAAAGACGGTGACGATGAAAGCACGTGTGTAATTTATTTTCTTTGTCAGCATTTCTCCTTGCTTATTATTCCCAAAGTGTGATAGCATAATTGGCAGCGATGGTCTATAATACATTCTACTGTCTCTTATTTGTCTATTTCTATATAAATATTATATTACACGAGTAACATGAAGTCCTCTCGTTTGTTCATTTTATATTTCAGTGTTAAGTCAGCCAACCAGCTCTACTAATGCTTTTCCACACTCTTTAATCCTTATTCATTTATTATTCAGATTCCAGGCTCTACTGAAGTAGACTGGTCCACTAGTAAAAAGTAAGGAAAAATCTTTGGAAATCATTTTTGTAGATTAGAATTCCTTAGACATTACTTAACGTGTGACATTTGCCAGAATTGAAAAATATGTAATTTTATTATTTTACAAGTATAAGGTACTGTTCATAATATCAATAGAATGTGAAATCGAACCCTGACATTTTACAGAGTTATCTGAACTTAACTGATCTGTGTACGAAAATAGACTTTTTCTGTTACAAAAAGATTTCTTTTAAGTAAAGAAAACTGATATTTACATTTTTAATTATAGAATAAAAATTTATAAATTAATAAAAACATGTGTTTGTTTATTTTTAATTGTTTCTGACCAGTGTTTGTGCATGTACATTCAACCCCGACCCCCCCAAAAAGGTTAAAGACTAATCTCCACTATAATGGAGAAAGGTCTAAAAATTTCAGAAAGTTGAAAAAAAAAAAAAAATGAACATAACAATGATATAAGTACAGATTAAAAAAATTAGCATTTGTAAATAACAGCTGTCTAATAACTCTGTAAAAAGTCAAAGGTCGATATTATTAGCAGGATCCCTCATAATAACAATATTTTTCGATTCTAACAAATGTCGTAGGGTAAAGTTTAATATGGGTATCCGACAAAAACAAAACAAGAAAAAAAAACAACAAACAAAAAAGCGTGGTATCAAAAGGACGGCATTTCTCGTAAGAGCAGCTATTAAAAAGGAAAATGAAAACAGGATGGCTTGTCTCGTTAGAACGGCTATTACTGTTTGTTAGCTCGTAATGTTTTTAAAAACTATTTTTAGAATTTGAATAAAGCCCAAGCATATGAAACCAGGTTTATGCATTTTCTCGTGAATTGGCAACAAAAGAATTAAACATTATGTTTGTAAATATCAGTCAGTTATGTGCCATGCGAGATACACGCTTAGGTGATCATGTATCTTTCGATACATGACTGACGAGAAAGATATTTTTTCCCGCTGTAGGTTGCCATTTTTTCTACGGTAAGCCAGTTGCCATCCAAGGCTATAGAACCCGGTCTGTCTTGCCATTTATCCATAGCTGAGGGAAAAGAAGAAGATTCATATCTTTCCCAATTATATTAGCACGTAAGTGAAGGTAATGGATTCGACTGGAATTCGAACTCGTTTCTACCGATTCCACAATCCGAGCCGCTACCCATTACTCCGCCAGAATATAAAAATGGCTAAACATTTTAGCTTTCATTTCTCGAGAGAAAGTATAAATCCAGATACTTGTAAACTCGTTTACCGAATTTATGTGATGTAAAAAAAAAAAAAAAAAAAATGACAGAGAAGCCCAAAAAATGCATTTTCACATTTATAATTACAATTGTAGCTATGTTTTTATTTAAATTTTTATTTAAATTTCCTTGTTTTTTTGTTCAAAAATATTTTTTTAATAAATTTACGAATAAAAATGTTTTCATATTTATTTCTTTATAATATCGTAAATAATGAATATTGCATTGTCGTTGGTTTACATATTTTTATAAATTTGCAAACGTAAAATTATTCTTGTAAATAAATAATTTAATAAAATAGCGTTTCGTTCTCTTACAGTCAATTTTCGAGAAAGAGAAGGCATAAATTCTAAATTGCCAATGATAGCGGTGTCAAGAGAAAAACCATGGTTTTGGCACTTCATTTTTTTCGATTTGTCGAAGTGTTCTAACAGAGGGCGAAAAGTGCGACACTGAGATCCGATGGCCAAAGATGCATTTCAAAAGCTAAGCAGAGGATGAAGAAACGGGAAAATTTCGTTGGAAACAAAGAAAAGAGTATTGAGTGATATATGTCCTCCTGGACAGATCGGGTTCTATAACATTGGGGGAAGGTATGAATCCACTTATCCTCCAGCTATGGGTAAACAGCAGGACAGATCTGGTTCAATAGACTTGGGAAACGTATGAATCCTCTTACCCCCCAGCTATGGGTAAATAGCAGGACAGATCGGGTTCTATAACCTTGGGGAAGGTATGAATTCTCTTAACCACAGCTATGGTTAAACAGCATGACAGATCAGGTTCCATAGCCTTGGGAAAGGTATGAATCCTCTTATCCCCCAGCTATGGGTAAACAGCGTGACAAATCGGGTTCTATAAGCTTGGGGATGGTATGAATCCTCTTACCCACCCGCTATGCGTAAACAGCATGACAGATCGGGTTATATAACCTTGGGGAAGGTATGAATCCTCTTACTCCTCTGCTATGGGTAAACAGCAGGACAGATTGGGTTCTATAACCTTGGAGAAGGTATGAATATTCTTACCCCCCAGTTATGGGTAAACAGCATGACAGATCGGGTTCTATAACCTTGGTGATTGTATGAATCCACTTATCCTCCAGCTATGGGTAAACAGCGGGACAGATCGGGTTCTATAACCTTAGGGAAGGTATGAATACTCTTATCCCACAGCTATGGGCAAACAGTATGACAGATTGGGTTCTATAGACTTGGGAAAGTTATGAATCCTCTTATCCTCCAGCTATGGATAAACACCAGGACAGATCGGGTTCTATAAACTTGGGGAATGTATGAATCCTCTTATCCCCCAGCTATGTTTAAACAGCATGACAGATCAGATTCTATAGCCTTGGGGTAGATATGAATCGTCTTATCCCCCAGCAAGGGGTAAACAGCAGGAGACATCGGGTTCTATAACCTTGTGGAAGGTATGAATCCGCTTATCCCCCAGCTATGGGTAAACAACAGGACTGATTGGGTTCTATAACCTTGTGGAAGGTATGAATCCTCGCACCCCCCAGCTATGGGTAAACAGCAGGACAGATTGGGTTCTATAACATTGGAGAAGGTATGAATGCACTTACCCCCGAGTTATGGGTAAACAGCATGACAGATCGTTCTATAACCTTGGGGAAGGTATGAATCCTCGCACCCCCCAGCTATGGGTAAACAGCAGGAAAGATCGGGTTCTATAAACATGGGAAAGGTATGAATCCTCTTATCCCCCAGCTATGGGTAAACAGCATGACAGATCGGGTTTTATAACCTTGGGAAAGGTATGAATCTCTTATCTCCCGTCTATGGGAAAACAGGAGGACAGATCGGGTTCTGTAACCTTAGGAGTGGTATGAAGACTCATATCCCCCGTCTATGGGAAAATAGCAGGACTGATCGCGTTCTATAACCTTAGGGAAGGTATGAATGCTCTTATCCCCAAGCTCTGGGTAAACAGTATGACAGATCGTGTTCTATAAACTTGGGGAAGGTATGAATACTTTTACCCCCTAGTTATGGGTAAATAGCATGACAGATCGGGTTCTATAACCTTGGGAAAGGTATGAATCCTCTTATCCCCCAGCTATGGTTAAACAGCACGAGAGATCAGGTTCTATAACCTTGGGGAACGTATGAATCCTCTTATCCCCCAGCTATGGGTAAGCAGCAGGGCAGATCGGGTTCTATAACCTTGGGAGTGGTATGAAGCCTCGTATCCCCCGTCTATGGGAAAACAGCAGGACTGATTGCGTTCTATAACGTTAGGAAGGTATGAATACACTTATCCCCCAGCTATGGGTAAACAGTATGACAGATCGGGTTCTATAGCCTTGCGAAAGGTATGAATCCTCTTATCCTCCAGCTATGGTCAAACAGCAGGGCAGATCGCGTTCTATAACTTTGGGAAAGGTATGAATCCTTTTATACCCCAGCTATTGGTAAATAGCAGGACAGATCGGGTTCTATAACGTTGGGGAAGGTATGAATCCTCTTATCCCCCAGCTATGCGTAAACAGCAGGACAGATCGTGTTCTATAGCCTTGGGAAAGGTATGAATCCTTTTCTCACCCCGCTAGCTATGCGTAAACAGCAGGACAGATCGTGTTCTATAGCCTTGGGAAAGGTATGAATCCTTTTCTCACCCCGCTAGCTATGGGTAAACAGCAGGACAGATCGTGTTCTATAGCCTCGGATGACAACTGGTCTACCTAAGAAAGAAATGGTAACCTACTGCGGAGGAAAAAACTCTGCCTCGTCAGTCATGTATCGAAAGATACATGATCGCCTAGTGTCTATTACGCATGGCACATAACTGAGTTGATAGGAAAGCAAGAAGCCAGAGGAAAGCTCCATTCGCGAGAAAAGAAACTATTAAAATATCCCTATGATGCTTCTTTTGATGTCTTAAATTTCGTTTCAAATGTTGTTTCTTCAGAAAAGGTTCTGACTTTTTAGGTGTCGTTGAACTGTATCAGTTTTGATTCTGTTTTATATTCGTGCTTGCATTCTCCTCCTTAGGGGAAATCATCACCCTACCCAATGGAAGCGATACCGCTGACTTTGTTTTACCGCTGATGTTTTTAATGTTTCTTCAGGAAAATTTCTGACTTTGTAGGTGTCGCTGAAGAATGTCATCACCTTTGTTCTGTTTTTGTATTTCTGTTTGTATAATCGTTCTTGGAAGACACCATCCCCTACCCAATGATACCGCTGAGTCTTGATTTGAATCTGCTGACCCAGCAAAAATAGACATTATTTGATGGTAAGCGAAAGGCATATTAATTAGCTAAACGTTATTTAATTAACTGATCAATGCTGGCAAAATTAAAAACTCCTTCTTAATCCATTTCTGTCATTAGGTTTTCATCTGTAGGTCAGCTTACGGCGATATCATATTGAAACACCAATTCCTGTACGATCGCTGATGTTAAGCAACGTCGAGCTTGGTCAGTACCTAGATGGGTGACCGCTTGGTAATACAATGTGTTTTAAGCTTGAAAGTACTCGGAATTATTAATCGGAGAGCCAAGTTCCAATTCCCGTTGGATCCGCTATATTCACTTATGTGCAAATACCCTTGGGAAAGGTATGAATCCACTTCTTTCCCACTGCTATGGGTTAATTAGTAAGACTTGTATCACTATTACTATCTCAAAAGAAAATTCTTACAATTTAAAATATTTTCTGCTTCTCAATAACCTGAAAAGGATTGGTAAACTGTAGAAAACGATTCAATAAAAAAAGCATGCTAGTTTTTAAATATAACTAAAGTGATTTTAGCTTATATATGACACAAGGTCATAAATAAAGAGCTCCCAGTGATGGTCGAACTCTTTATTCAGTTGTAACTGATTTAGCGATACAAGTTTGTTAACCATTATACCACATCGAAGTTCAGTAATAAATAAAATATAGTAATGTTTTTCTTTTAATCATTTCACCCCCAGCAAGGTGATAAAGCCATCAAGATGCAAGGGGTTACTGGGAGCGAAAGAGAATGAGAAGACTTTAGCGAAGAGAAAGGAGAAATAAAAGAACAGGATTCAGGAAGACGGAAGATAGTTATTAAAGGTGCATTTTACATTTTTGAAGAATGTAGTTGGCAGTGAAGCAAGAAATTGGAAGAGAGTTCCTCGGGCGAGAAGTGCGAAGGGAGAAACCATCAGAAAGAAACTTACGGTTGCATCTCGTTATTTCAACAGTAAAAGGATGAGACCTAATTTCCAATCTAGTAGTGCAATTAACTTCATGTGGTCGTGGTACAACTGCCATGAAAATATTTATAGAAAAGACAGATACACTCCACGTCACGGTTGTGGGTAAGTTTAAAATTAACGTGTAAAAATTAAATGCCCACTTGTATCTATTCTGAGTTTCGTGGAGAATATACACTCTTCCGGAAGCTTGAGTGCTAATATATAAAATATTAGAAAAAACATCACCATTGCAAGGGAGATAACTTTTGTAAAGCAAAAGGTTACAGACATTACAGAAAAAATTAGCGTATGAAATAGAAATTTAAACCAGGATTAGAAACACATAGAATTTAACAAGTTGGATTAAATTTTGGCATGCCAAGCCGTATTTTATATTATTTTGAAATTGTTCCCAATTAGGGAGCCCTTTCAAATGTTAAAAATACCCAACTGAAATTAATTCACTATAGATTTATCGTTGGGGACTTTCGCACACAACTAATGGTTTCCATATTATGCGAAAAAGAAAATATATTTTAAAAATTCAGCTTATCAATGCAATAACGTCAGATAATTTTGTAAAATTCTGATACTTGAATTGTTCTAAATGCTGGTAAATCGGACGTTCAAATTTTAGTTATTTTGATTTTTCATAAGAATGGTAAAAAAAAAAAAAAAACTTTAAAGATTAAAAAACATAAATAATATATATTTGACAAAAATAATTTTTATTTCACAATGTTTCCGATATTTTTATCCTAATGGTTTCATTTCATTTGGTTTGTTTTATTTGACGGCATACCAACCTTAGTGCCGACAAGATTTTTATTTCTGGTAAGAATTTTTCTTTCAAAAATGTATTACTGATAATATTTTTTCCTTTTCAAAAATGTACTGCTGGTAATAATTAAAAAAAAGTATTGCTGATATTAAAACCTATTTTACACTTTCATAGTGTTTTGACTTCTTTT